GAAGGGAGAAAACAAAATAAAAATAAAAATGAAAGGTGACTAATCTGTACTTGTCCTTTCCAGTCAGGGAGCGGTGCAGCGTCATGCTATTCTGGAAGCCAGGGGCATTTTCGTAATTTGTCTCTTGGTCATCGCTGAATAGCTAAAGCAATCCCAATCGAACTTCCGGTCTCCACTGAGAAGCGTGAGTAGATTCAACTAGGTGCATATTTGATCAACAACAGGATACGACTAGCTCCTCCATCAACGGATGGCAGATCCCATCAACAGTGAAATGTGGTTGTTCGTTTCCTCAGCGGACCAGCTGTTCACATCAGCAGTGTAATCCGGTTGTTCCTCCCATCAGTGATATCGCTATTCACATCAGCTGCGTAACCCGGCCGTTCCTCCCATCAGCGGGATCACTATTCACATCAGCAGCGTAATCCGGCCGTTCGTCCCTTCAGCAGGATCACTATTCACATCAGCAGTGTAATCCAGCGGTTTCTCCCATCAGCAGGATCACTGTTCTCATCAGCAATGTAGCCCAGCGGTTTCTCCTCTCAGCGGGATCACTGTTCTCATCAGCAGTGTAGCCCAGCGGTTTCTCCCTTTAGTGGGATCACTGTTCTCATCAGCATGGTAGCCCAGCGGTTTCTCCCCTCAGCGGGATCACTGTTCTCATCATTAGTGTAACCCAGCGGTTTCTCCCTTCAGCGGGATCGCCATCCTCATCAGCACATGCACTCCATCTTGGTCTCTTTGTTGTACCAGCCGTGTCCGCCATGGCTGGAACCCGCCTGCTCATGCAAACGGGTACAATCCGTCCCGCTGCGGTCTCCCGTCGTCGAGGTCCAAACACTGCCTTCCCTCTGCGTTCCCTCCGGTCCCTCAGTCTCCGAATCTCCCTTTCTGGTCTCTCCTTCATGGGTGCACACCCATGGCTGTCACAGTCATGGCAGCACCAGCGAGCTACGTTCACGTTGGTCGCCCGCCCTTGTGCGCCCCGTTCTCCCTGGTCGCGCCGTTACTCCCACCAGTTCGTCCTGGTCCCCCTGGTCTCCGCAACTGCTCAATAGCCCCCGACACTTCACAGGCTTGACTATATGTGGTCTGCAGCCCGCACAGTGGCCTCAGCGGACATGAGACACCTGCAGTCTCAAGCACCGACACAATGGTTTCCACGTAAGGCCTGGCCGCACCAGCAGTCCCGAACTGCACCGGAGTACCGCATCAGGAAATAAGGAAATAATTGTGCCAGCTAGGTCCCGAACTATACCTGCGCCGTGTCCGTTCCTGGAGAGATTGTACCGAGCCTCAGAGGCCTACAGACGTGCCAACCCACTAATTACACCAGATATAGTTGCCACAAACAGTAAGGGTCCGTGTCGTCGCCATAACAATGCCGAACCTGGGAATTATCGATGTAAGTTGTAGCAGTCTGTGTTGTCACCGTACAACACACTGTATCGTTACCGCACCAATGCAGAGCCTGAAGTAATCGCTTGGAGATGCTGTAACCCATATCGTGCCGATGCCGATCCAAGACCGAGCCTGAAAGTGATGCAGTGGCGTGTACCACGGCAATGCCGAACCAATACCGTACCTGAAACATGTCGAACACGGCAAGATGCAGCGGCGCGGCAATAGTACCGAACCTGAAGTAAACCGCCGCAATGATCCCGGACTTGAAAATAAGCTGCCACAATGGTACCGAACGTGGAATGAACTGCCGCCAAGGTCTCGAATCTGAAATGAGTTACCGCAGTCGTCTTAGACCTGTAAATAAATCACCATAGAGGTTCTGAACTTGAAATAAATTGTCACAATGGTCCCAGACCTGAAAATATGTTACCGCAGAGGTTCCAAACCTGAAATAAATCGTCGGGAGGGCGTCGAACCTGAAACGAAACACCGCGATGCCACCGAACCTGACCAAACCCGAAATCCAGTACCGGGCTGTTGTGCCACGTGGATGCCGAACCCGTACAACCATGCCATGATAATTTCGTACCTGTCCCGAACCTGATATAGAATGCCGCAACGTTTCCGGACCTGAAAACAAACTGTCGCCCAGGTTCCAAACCTGGAATAATTGTCGTAGTGGTCCCGGTCCTGAGAATAAATCACCGCAGTTGTCCCAAACCTGAAAATAAGTCACCGTAGTGAAACAACAGTCACATGGCCCATACTGTACCTGAAGCACGTGAGACACCGTAGGACGTAGCCACTCCGTAACAACCCTCGTATCCGTACCGAACCAAACACCATAGTCGACCCAAGGTAGCACCACCCCATGCTGTCCATGCGACTCCCGCTCTTAGAACATCCCAACTGCGGTAAAGTTAGTAATCAAGCAAACCAGGGAAAGCGACGCAGGGAACCTCGACCATCGGCAGTCGTGAAAACTGTTAAAATCCGGGGAAAATGTTCAATCCGGGGTCAGAGCTGATGGCGGGTAATCGAGGCGAAATTAGGCCAATCTCCCANAACTATACCTGCGCCGTGTCCGTTCCTGGAGAGATTGTACCGAGCCTCAGAGGCCTACAGACGTGCCAACCCACTAATTACACCAGATATAGTTGCCACAAACAGTAAGGGTCYGTGTCGTCGCCATAACAATGCCGAACCTGGGAATTATCGATGTAAGYTGTAGCAGYCTGTGTTGTCACCGTACAACACACTGTATCGTTACCGCACCAATGCAGAGCCTGAAGTAATCGCTTGGAGATGCTGTAACCCATATCGTGCCGATGCCGATCCAAAACCGAGCCTGAAAGTGATGCAGTGGCGTGTACCACGCATATGCCGAACCAATACTGTACCTGAAACATGTCGAACACGGCAAGATGCAACGGCGCGGTAATAGTACCGAACCTGAAGTAAACCACCACAATGATCCCGGACCTGAAAATAAGCTGCCACAATGGTACCGAACCTAGAATGAACTGCCGCCAAGGTCTCGAATCTGAAATGAGCTACCGCAGTCGTCCCAGACATGTAAATAAATCACCGTAGAGATTCCGAACCTGAAATAAATCGTCACAGTGGTCCCGGACCTGAAAATAAGTCACCGCAGAGGTTCCAAACCTGAAATAAATCGCCGCGAGGGCGTCGAACCTGAAACGAAACACCGCGATGCCACCGAACCTGACCAAACCCGAAATCCAGTACCGGGCTGTTGTGCCACGCGGATGCCGAACCCGTACAACCATGCCATGATAATTCCGTACCTGTCCCGTACCTGATATAGAATGCCGCAACGTTTCCGGACCTGAAAACAAATAGTCGCCAAGGTTCCAAACCTGGAATAACTGTCGTAGTGGCCCCGGTCCTGAGAATAAATTACCGCAGTTGTCCCAAACCTGAACATAAGTCACCGTAGTGAAACAGCTGTCACAGGGCCCATACCGTACCTGAAGCACGTCAGACACCGTAGGATGTAGCCACTCCGTAACAACCCTCGTATCCGTACCGAACCAAACACCATAGTCGACCCAAGGTAGCACCACCCCATGCTGTCCATGCGACTCACGCTCTCAAAACATCCCAACTGCAGTAATGTTAGCAATCAAGCAAACCAGGGAAAGCAACGCAGGGAACCTCGACCATCGGCAGTCGTGAAAACTGTTAAAATCCGGGGAAGATGTTCAATCCGGGGTCAGAGTTGATGGCGGGTAATCGAGGCGAAATTAGGTCAATCTCTCAATAGTCATGGGTTCCTGCCCCTTTCATCGTTTTTTATCATTCTTCCCTTTCCTTAATTCTATTGTCGGAAATAGTTAATTAACCGTAAGTTCCCCGAAATTAAATTCGAAGAACGTTTAAATAAATGGCCGAATTCCTTTTGTTTCTTTTCTCTTTTACCATTTTTAATCTTTTTCTATGTTTTTTAATTTCATTGCCGGGAACATAAAATAACAAGGGTATTCCCCCTTGAATTAAATGTCGTGAAAAATAAAGAAATTAAGGGATATTATGTTTTTCCCTTCTCCCCTACTGGCCTTAATCCCTTTTCCCCATCTTTAATTATGGTATTAAAATAGATAAAAATTTGTGGCCTCATTTCGGCCCCGGTCGTATGTCGCAAAAATGTTGCGGCGAGGTCAGTTCCCGCGATGCCTCTCCACGGCAGGCCAATCCGGGCCCTCTGAACGGTCGGAAATGACGGTCACTAGATGCGCCGAGTGCGGCCACCCATCTCTCCATCTTTGAGGGTTACTCGTAAGGTTCAATGCGCCCAAAATCAGGGGTGCCCTGAGCTTCCCTAGTTTCTGCTGCCTGGTCATACCAGAGTACCGTCAAAACACGGACTTGTCCCTGAGCCTAAGCCCCAAAGCCGCAGATTTCAGGCGGCGCACTGCTTGTGGCTGCCTGACACCGTGTCGGTGGGCCATAGGATGGGTGTCGTCCACCGCCCTCCAGTTCCGTAGGCGCCGGGCCACCTGCCGAGTCGTCAAGGGCAGCGACACCCACCCGCCCCGCAGTATCTTCGCCTGCAATGCGGTAGAGGGCGACCGCAAGTGCTGCATTCAATGATTCCACTCCGCCGGAAGAGATCGAGAGGCAGGCGTGGGAGAACTGCCGCTAACAGATGCGGCGTGTTGGCGCGGACAACATCATCATCGGTGTGTCCAGGTTGCGTGTGGGGAACGACGTGGATGCGGACGACAGCCGTCGGGCGAGTGGGGACGACTCTCCGGAATCCCGTTACGAAGACGACGCGGAAGATGCTGAGGGGCTGGAGATCCGACCCGTGGCTGCCCGAGGTGGGCGGAGGGGAGGAGCCGGACGTCAACAGAGGGCCGCTTCGCGTGGTGATCGAGGATCGAAGGCTCCTGTGGGAGACAAGGGCGGCAAGCACCAAGCTTGGAGTGTGGAGGAGATGTTGAAGCTCGCTCGAGCGAAGCGGGATCAGCAAGCTCATTTCGAGGGAATGCCGCACAACTACGGCCGCATGCGCAGCAGGGAGTGGAAGTTACAGGACCTGCAGAAGCGGCTGGCGGAGGTGGGAGTGAACAGGACAACGGACGACATCGGCAAGAAGTGGGATAACGTCTTCCAGCAGTACAAGAAGGTGCAGCATTACCAGAACATGTCCGGGCGGACGAACTTCTTCATATTGACTCCTGCAATGAGGACGGAGGAGGGCTTCAACTTCCGAATGGATGAGCGAGTGTACAACGAGATCGACAACATGTCGCAAAATAACAAGACCATCTACCAGGACAATGTGGCAGACACGAGCGCCCGAGGAGGAGTGCCGCCAGTAATGGATCGTCATCGGCAGGCGCCCGTTGGTGGAGAGTCCGCTGTCGGTGGAGAGGGGGGTGATGGCGTCGACGAAGATGGGGGTTCGGCGCGGGAGTAGGGGTTTAGTGCAGGGAGCAAGGGCGCTCCAGGGAAGAGGAAGAACATGCGCCAGCAAACCTTCGACGCCATCGCCGAAGTCATGGAGAAACACAATGCATTGATGGCGGACACTGTAGAGGGTGCGAGCAAGCGGCAGTGTAACATCATGGACCGGCAGTGTGACATACTGGACCGGGAGGTTGAAGCCCAAAAGCGGCAGTGTGACATACTAGAGAGGCATTACGTGGCGTCCGACGAGGCGAATAGGATGATGTGCACGGCGTTGATGGAGATCGCCAGAGCTATAAGGGACAAATCTTGAGGGGGGTGGCGTGGTTTTTCGGGTGGTCTGCCCGCATGCCGAATGAGTGATCGTCACTGCGGTCGCCTGGAGGGGTGTGCTTGAGGCCGTCTGGGTGGGATCCGCATGCCATCGGAGGGGAAAGGTCACCGCTAGCACTATAAAGGTCCGCGCGTGCGCTATCTTGTCCCTGTCTTTCTGTTGACGAGTGCCCGCAAAGCGACGGGTGGGGGTTGGCTTGCACTGCGTGGGGAGCTGATCATCGCCCGCGGAAGACAATCGCTAGAGCGTTCTTCTCAAGCGTTGTGGCAGACCGCTTTCGTTCACGGGATCATGAGGGGGGTGGCGTGGTTTTTCGGGTGGTCTGCCCGCATACCGAATGGGTGATCGTCGCTGCGGTCGCCTGGA